AAGCCATGAAGGTATCAGCAAATAAATGAAAAGGAACAAAAAAGTCAGACTTTGTCATGATTCGACATTCCCACAATCCAATGAAAATATGGGGTATCAAGTTTATGATTTTGAAATTTTAGCCTTCTTTTATTTAAGCTGTTTTGATTACCAAATGCAGGTAGTCCAGTGGAAATTCATTGAAAGTAGCCAAATTAACTAAATGCCTTTATTTGAACAAGGGTACAGAGATCCTAGCAAACCAAGTATGAAGAAGCATTAAAACCATTGGGTCTAATTCCATACTTCACTATGCTATTTTCTCTCATTCATCACAAACTCATCTACTTTTGTGCTCATTTTGCATCTGAAAACTGATGTGTTTCTACTATATATGGTAGGCATTGTCTGAAGTAGCTGCACACACTATGTTCTTGCCTTCTTGGCATTCGTTATTTTGTTTGTTCAGGAACAGAAACTAAACACACTGTTTTGATCCTCGATACACAAGAGGAGAAAAATATACTAGCAAAAAGAGAAATTGTGATTACGGGATTAAGCTCACAAATACATTCAAGGTAAAAAATAAATAAATAAAAGTTGACAGCTAGAGTTTACATTCCTTAGGGCAACGGATCTCAAAACCTCAAGTGACAAGTAACTCCATCCCTAGCTGCTGACATCAAAAGAATGAAATCTGAGACATCTAAATAATCTCCAATCCTTAAATTAACTTTATTCATTATTTTTAAAGCTAAAGTTTAGACAAACAGTATAACACACATTCCTATTATATTTACCACCAAAATAAACCATAGCCTTTGAGAAAGCAGAAATTAATTTTGCGGCAATGACCTTGGGAAAATATCGGCAACTTTAACACCTAAGACAACTCAAATAATGTAACCAAAATATGCTTGAGCTTTTAATTCCTCCTTTCCGTAGAATTACCACAAGAAATATACAGACATAAAAGAAACCCAGCTCCACTTTATATAATTTGGGGTATATAGAGTCTCAACAATAACAGAAAAAGCATTCCAGAATATCATTACAGCTTCTGCTTGTTTTGTTATCTGAAATAGTAACGATAATTAGTGACTGAAACTCCTTAAAAGTAGAAGGAAGCAGGTAGCTAATACATTGGTAAGAAAAAGGATAGCTATCTCAAGACTCAAAAAAATTGACCACTGACAACTGTTATTGTTATAATATCAAGATGAACCTAACAACATATTACTTTTAATCAAAATTAATGTGATAGTGAGCGCATTGCATAGTCCATCTTTTATTTTGTGTAACTATCAAAAGAAATAAAGATTAGTCATCATAAAAATTCAGATTAACTCAATGCATAAATAGAAAGTATCTCACCTAGTTTTACTCATAATAGGCCTCTAGCAATCATTTCACATAGAAACTTCTCTGCCTTATCATTCTCATCTTTTTGAAAGAGAGAACGAATAATAATTTCAAAAGTTACAGCATTGGGGATACAAATAATTTTCTTCCATTTTTGACCATAAGGTCAATGCTTCATCAACCAAGCCTGCTTTACAAAGACCATTGATCATAACAGTATACATCCGGACATCTAGAAGATAACCTTTAATCAAAAGACCCGGAAAACCTCTTGTGCATTCTTAAGTCTTCCACCTTTGCATAATCCATCAATAAGTGCAGTAAATGTGTATACATTTGGCTGAATACCCTGATCTTTAATTTCCGTAAATAATTCAATTGCCTTGTCAAGATGATGGTTTTTGCATAAAGACTGTAATAAGGAATTGTAAGTGATTACATTGGCTAGTTGACCTTTGTCGTGCATCTCATCAATAAGATTCCAGACAGAAGAGATTCTCCCTGATTTGCACAAACCATCAATAAGAGAGTTGTAAGTTACCACATCGGGAATCATATTTTTGCGATGCATTTCTTCAAAGAGACTCATGACCTTATCCATCATTCTAATCTTACATAATCCATTAATCATGATATTATAGCTCCGAACATTAGGAGTCACGCCCCTTTGGACCATAGAGTTGAACACATATTTTGCATTGTTCACTTCATTAACTAAGAAATACCCATCCATTAATGTACTAAAAGTAACAAAATCAGGTTTTACACCTTCTTTTATCATAATAGCTAACACATTTTTAGCTTCATTGACCTTTCCTTCCTTACATAATGCATCAACCAATATACTAAAGGTATGAGCATCTGGGTTGATGTTCTCCAATACCATTTCATTAAACAAACCAATTGCTTCTCTCAGTTGACCCAGAATGCAAAAGCCATAAATTAGAGTACTGTAAGTGACGACATCAGTAGAAATTCTCTTGACAATATTTCAGAATATAAATCAAACACTTCATTTACAAGTTTATCTTTACATAAGCTATCAATGATTGCGTTGTACATTACCACATTAGGCTGAATTAGCTGCCCATTAATCTTTCTCAGCAATTGCATGGCAGCTTTTGTTTCACCTATTTTACATAATCCATTGTTTCTCCTATTTTGCATCTCTTCTTGTCTATCTTTGCAGCATTACTTTCAAAGATGAATGTGAAGAAGCATCAAGAACCTGTTTTATTGGAAACTTCAGAGGAAAAGCTTCAATACGTGCTGTTGGAGAAGAGTTTTAGACCTTGAAGATGGTTGTGGGAGGGTTCTAGTCTACTATCCAAAGATAAATTTAACGAAGCCACTGGGAGAAGATGCCCACTTCATCTGTGAGGAAGAACAAACCATTGGCGTTGCTGATGGTGTTGGTGGCTGGGCTAGGAAAGGTATAGACACTGGTGAGTATGCTCAAGAACACATGAAAAAAATGCTATCATTGCAGTTAAAAAGAACCAAAAGACTCTGTTGACCCAAAAAGAGTCTTGAACCATGCTTTCATGAATACCAAAGCAAAAGGGTCGTCTACTAGATGCAAGTCTCAAGAAACATGTGACAGTAACAATTAATCAAGATGCTCAAAGTAACAATGTATGGCTTAATTCCCCTGAATTCCAATGGTCTAGAAAGGGAAATAGCAGAGGGGAAATGCTTCATCTTAACAAGGGGTCTCAAAATCTTGTTAAAATCAATGATGGATTGGGTAGGAAGCATAAGGAGCATGCGATTGAATAAGGAAACAGAATCATCATCAGGTTTGTCAATGAATGGAGAATGAGAATGAGAATGAGAGTATAGTCTCATCCTTGTGTTGGAAGAGAAGCAAAGAAGGAAAGTGGGGTTTGAAGGAAACCTTAGAATGGAAACGGCGCACCTTAACCAACAAGACATTGACATTAACATTGTTGTTGGCAGCTACAGATTGTGCTACTGTTAGGGTTTGTTGATGTAAAATGAAAACAGCTTTCAGATGCTAATGTTTTTTGATTGCTCATACGATAATAATAAAATCATGGGTTTTATAAGAGTTATGTCGTAGGAAAAGTGATTGTGTTATGTTATAGAGATTCGTTTTGCGTGCTGAAGTTTTTTTTTTTTTTTTGCTGCGGGCCCCACAAAATGTTGTGTGTGTAGGAAAATTTTTGTGGTCATGTTAAATGATAAATGATAAACCCTAAAATTATATATAGAGACTTTTTTTTTTTTTTTCTTTTTTACTTTTTAAGGTTATTTTCACTAAATTGAGATTGCAGATGAAGTAACTCCATTTTTACTTTGATACGGAAAGATGTTTAACTAAGGAATGTAAAATAAACGCTACTCATGTGACTTCTTTTTTAAATAATAATTCATCTTGTTGTGGTTTAATTAGAAGCTATTTTTTTTTATGATTTTAAAAGTAATATTTTATCTTATATTTTTTTTTTATTGTACATTATTATTTGTAGTTTTTTCAAAAAAAATTAATTTAAAAGATAGTGCAGAGTTTGTAACTAATTAGATTCAATTCGCAAATACCTGTATTTTCTTTAATTTCATTAATAACATTCGAATTTTCTTTTCTGCAAAAATCATTATCATTTAAATTTATGTCATCAAGCAATGGAGTAATAACTCAATCTATCACGGTAATGGCTTGGTTTTCTCAAAATTTTTACTATGTGAAAATCATCAAAGCACGATTTTCCCAACCTAGTTAATTTACTTCATTTAAGAAGTTTATGAACTAACACCTTTAATTTTTTTTTTGCTTTTTTTTTAACTATAAACTCAGGTTTAAGCATATTTTAATGAAGAACTAGTTAAAAGAACCACTGACAATACAAAATTAACATGAAGAAAAAATTAACTATCCAATTTATCAATTAATCATTTCCTTTACCTCTAATTTTGTTTGGTAGTGTTTTTTTTTATTAATATTTCCCATTTTAACACTAAACTCAGCATTTTCTTTTCTATTACAAATTAGAGGAAAAAATATTTTTCCCGTCACGTGATATAAAATGATATTTTCTGCAATTCAATCACATTGCAATCCCTAACCAAAATGACTATTTTAGGATTTGTAAAATAAAAATATAAGACATTTTCATAAAATTTATGTTGTAAGAGAAAAATAAAATGGAAAACAAGTTATATTGCGAGTGTTTTCTCATGTTGTAATCTTTTGATTTATGGAAAATAATATTTCTGCAGTTACTGCAGATAATTTATTTCCAAAACGACGTCGTTTTAGTATTGAAATATTAAAAAGTTATAAATATAAAAACTATTATAACCCTGAAATAAATTAAAATTACAAAAATATCATGATTTTCACCCAAAACAACGTCGTATTGGGTTTACTGCAGTAACTGCAGAAAAAGCAAACCATTGATTTATATGTAAAATATTTTTTTTAATAAGCATGGAACTCACCACTAATTGAGTCATAAGATAGAATTCAATTATGACGTAATATAAGAAAATCAAAGCTATCTTCTTTTAACTTGTTTGGGACGAACTTATAGTACATTACATTTATCTTAAATATAAAAGGGGTCTAAGACAGGTTTGCATGAATATTCAGCAGGATTAGAAAAAGATACAACAAAATAGTTGAGAAGACAAAAGCCAACCAATTAAGATGGACATAATGAAATAAGAGTTCATCACATTGCAGTTATGTAAGCTCAACTCAGCAAACAGTCCAGAGCAGAAAACATTACATTTATTGGAAATTCTAATGGGGTTTAAGTACCAGTAATCTAAGTTCTTGTCTGTTTTGCAAGCTTGAACCACTCAGTATGGAAAGAACCCTCCATGTCAATCCTTTCATATGTATGAGCACCAAAGTAGTCTCTTTGAGCTTGAACCAAATTAGCTGGCAAACTTTCCCTTCTGTATGTGTCAAAATAAGCAAGACTAGCAGACATACCTGGGGTGCTTATACCAGAATTGATAGCAAGGCACACAACTCTCCTCCACGCGGATTGGCGATCGATGATTTCCTTGGCAAACTCTGGATCCACAAGAAGGTTTGCCAGATTAGGATTTCTGTCATATGCCTTCTTGATTCTGTCCAAGAATATTGCTCTTATGATGCAACCCCCTTTCCAAATCCTGGCAAGTTCTCCCAACTTCAAATCCCAACCCTTTTCAATACTCTTTGCGCGGATTAAATTCATTCCTTGTGCATAACTGCATATTTTTGCAGCATAAAGAGCCTTCCTAACATCATCAATCAACTTCTTCTTGTCAACAGTTTCATCATTCAAGATACTGCCAAAGCCACTTGATTTAAAGACCTTTGCAGCTTCAACTCTTTCCTCCTTCAATCCACTAAGGAACCTAGCATCCAAAGAAGCCTCAATAGTAGGAGCAGCAACGGATAATTCAGCAGCTTGCTGAACAGTCCATTTACCAGTGCCTTTCATGCCAGTTTTGTCCAGAACCTTGTCAACCAAATGCCCATCACCTTTATCATCCTTAATTCCAAATATATCTGCAGTAATCTCAATCAGGAAACTCAGAAGTTCTCCTTTGTTCCATTCTGAGAACACACTTTGTAGTTCCTCATTTGACAACTTCCCAACTGACTTTAGCACATCATAAGCCTCTGCAATCAGTTGCATGTCCCCATATTCAATTCCATTATGAATCATCTTCACAAAATTACCAGATCCACCTTTACCGATGTATGTCACGCAGGGACCGCTATCGGGGACTTGAGCTGCCACCTTGAGAAGAATGTCTTCTATGTATTTGAAAGCCTCCAATGAACCACCAGGCATCAAAGAAGGACCATGTCTTGCACCTTCCTCACCACCTGAAACTCCCATCCCAAGATAGAGTAGACCCAATTCAGCCATAGCTTTCTCTCTTCTCTCAGTGTTCTCATACCACTCATTACCACCATCAATTATACAATCACCTTTTTCCAAGTATGCAGATAGGGTCTTAATGGTCTGGTCAACAGGTGCCCCAGCCTTAACAAGCATTATTATGACCCTTGGTTTTTGAATGGATTGAACAAAAGATTCAGGGTCATGGTAGCCATACACAGGAAGATTTCCTTCTTCTTTCGCTCGTTCCACAGTCTCATCAACCTTGGATGTGGTTCGGTTATAGACAGAAATAGGAAAACCCTTGTCAGCAATATTGAGAGCAAGATTTTGGCCCATTACAGCCAATCCAGCAAGGCCTATTCTTATAGGTTGAGCCATAGTTTATTTCCTGTTCAATGTTCAATGATTCATATGAGAAAATGGTATAAAACAAAAAAAAGGCATGAAATTCTGACTTCTGAAGAAAAACAAAAGCTGTAAACTACAATAAAGGCATTTCTACAGCCATGAAAAAAAACCGAGGAGTTGTTATATTGACAAATTTTTTTTTACAAACTTATAAACTACACTGTGTCTTCCCGGTAAGACTTCACTTAAGAGTGTCTTACTGGTAAGATATAATATAGCTTGTAAGAGTAAAAAATTTGTAAATATAACCTTCACCGTAAAAACCTCTATAAAGTACACTAGGAATTACAAAAAACTAGAACATACAAAATGAATAAAGACAGGGAGAAAGAGGAGTCAAAATACAACAATCCAATATGGGAATTGCAAATCAAACACAATCATTTTCTCACAATTCCATTCTTCTTCTTCTTCTTCTTATTATTTGATATAAAAATATTATTATGTAGGGTATTCAAACAAATCATAACAAGCAGAACTGCATCCACTGCATGCAAACATGTATTCACAAAAACCAAGGCCCAATAAACTGATCTCACCAATAAGGGGCTTAATCAATAAGAAATTAGAATCCAAACCCAGATCAAAAACAATATTCACTGTCTTGTTGACTTCTCAGAAAACCACAACAAAAACAACAGTAAAAGATGCAGGTAAAGTTTCTGTCTTTCTGAGCAAACAAAAATAAATTGATTAATCATAGATACCATCAATCAAACACAGACTCAAGTGCATCCGTAAAAGGAAAACAGAAAAAGCAAGCTTTAAAGGCAAACCTGGATTTTGAATGGAATTACAGAAAATTGAGATCTGGGTATCTCAGAGACTAAGGTATGCATAAAATGAGAAAGTACAAAAATATTATATACAAGTACACTTTAAGCTACAGTGACACACCAACTACACCTACGAACCTTTTTAGGACAAAGAAAAGAACGACTTTCTTGTGATATAAAATGGTCAAAGTTTTCCAACCAACATTAGTTGGGTAGGTGGAGATGCTCAAAGGAATTAAGGCCTTTGATTCCACTATCACGGCTAGCTCTAGCTCGCGTGTGTGACCTTGGTTTTCTTAGCATTCATATGTGAAAAAAATTGTCAATTTTAATGTTTTATTTATGATTAAAATAAAAAACAATTTATATCTTCTTAATCAATCTAATATTTATAACGCAGCTCAGTTGGTAACTTGGCGCTGAATTAGTGGGGTTGGATATGTGTTCGATTCCCGCTGAATGCATTCTTAGGGAGGAGGCTGAACCTTTAGCCGTTCCCCCGAGGATACCGGAGGGAGCCAACTCGTCTCAAAGAGATAATTAGGGTTGGGTAACTCCAAAAAAAAAAAAAATCTAATATTTATAATTACTTAAAAAATAAATATTTTTTAAATCATACAAATATTAAACATATTTTTGTTTATTTGATATATACTATTTTAAAAAATTTAAGAGAATATTTTAGGAGGGTATACTATTTCACGACATGTTTAATAAATGGGTTCGCTTTTTCTGCAGTTACTGCAGATAAGTTATCTGCAGTAAGCTCAATACGACATCGTTTTGGGCAGAAATTATGGTGCTTTTGTAATTTTAATTTATTTTAGGGTTATAATAGTCTTTATATTTATAATTTTTTAAAATTTCAATATCAAAACGACGTCGTTTTAAAAATAAATACAGATAACTTATCTGCATTAACTGCAGAAATATTTTTCCCTTAATAAATTCTTAATTTTATATTTTGAGATGACCTTTTACCTCAACCTCATTAACCTTTTTTTTTTTTTTCCCTGACCTTCCTACTCCTTTGGGTTAAGTGAGATATATTCTCACCACCCGGCTAGGAAAAATAATATATGTAAGGAAAAAATATTTCTGCAGATAATTTATTTGCATTTATTTTTAAAACGATGTCGTTTTGGTATTAAAATCTCAAAAAATTATAAATATAAAAACTATTATAACCCTGAAATAAATTAAAATTACAAAAATACCATGATTTCTGCCCCAAAATAACGTCGTATTGACTTACTGCAGATAACTTATCTGCAGTAACTGCAGATAAAATGAACCCTATATATAAATATGAGATCAATCCCGAATCAAATAATGTAATAATTATCCAACTTTGACCCTAAATTCTTTTTCAGAATTCAAACCCGTATTATGTTGGGCGTCATTCGTCTCAATCTCAACTAACTTATTAAGTTTAAATAAACTTGAAGAAGGAGAAATTATTATTGTTATATACTAGTGAATATGTTTTTACTTTACTTATATTAAAAGTATAATTGCAAAATGAAACAAAAATGAACCATATAGATAGTATAGAACAAAATAATTTTCTTACAATGAAAGCAATTAATTTTGTGTCTCTTAATATTGAGATGATACATGATAACTGTGGCTTAATATTATCTTTCACTATAGTTAAGAATTATAAAATGTTAGATAATTCGGAATTAGTATTTTCATTAAATTTATACCACTTTAACAATACGTGTCACAATTGGTAATTTCATCTTTATCCTTCCTTGTAATTTTAAAAGCAATACTATTAAACATGAGAAATGATGTGTTTAACAAAAAAAATTTACAAATTTTTGTAAATTACACTATATATTTCTGGAAGAATTTGGAAGTAAATAGTATAATCTAGTGTACTTCTAAAAGCACATAATATAGTCTGTAAAAATTTTGGTAAACAAAAAGTTTATAAATATAATCTTCCTAAAACATTCATTGTAAAACATTCAGGCACACGTACAAGTCATGATCCTTTACAATGTTTTTTTTTTCTTAGGATACAATGATCCTTTACCTATGATGCACGGATACGGACACAGAACACGACACGACACGCCGACACGTTAATTCTAAAAAATGTCATATTTTGACACGTGGAGACACGTTTTGATATTAAATAAAATTTTAATATATATAATATATTTATATTTAATACGTATAAGAGTCCAAAATAAGTCATATAACCAATCAAATATTTAAATTTCATAACATAAATATAAATATAAATAATTTTTCGTACTTTGTTAATTTTTCATGTCAAATTTCATAACAGAAAAAAATTAATTTATAAATTATTTCTTTTATATTTAGTTAACAAAATAAAATTGAGATTTAAAAAAAAAAAAAAAAGGTGTCCGAGCGTTGACCGCATGTCGGCAAAAGTTGACCTCGTATCGAAAAAACGTGTCAAAATGTGTCGAAGAGTTGATTGCGTGTCCCCAAATATTAATCGCGTGTTAGATGCGTGTAAAAGCATGTCCAGGTCGGACACGTGTCCGATCCGTGCTTTGCTGTCCTTTACAATGTTAAGAATGACCGTAGAGCATTCTGAAAAGTTGCAAGAATTTTAACCTTTTAAAATTATTTATCTATATGATAGAGTATAATAAAAAAAACAAAATTCAATAAGTATGAGTCGTTAGGATAGATTCTTCACCTCCAAATTTTATTTCAAGTTGCACTAGATCCAAGGACTATAACAATAAGATCGCATATGCTCGAATATTCAATAACACGACACTATTTTCAACCCTATAATAATTGAGGAAATATACATTTACTACATGTATAAATTTCTCGTTGTTTCTTCATTTTCTCTATGCTTACGATTTTTTTATACCCACCAAATTAAGTGATATAAATTTTTTTGGTGGATTAAGTTTGTTTACATCACAATAGGAAAAAATAACAATAATTAGTTTTCTTTCATTTTTTTCAGTTATATTATATGCATATCAAACACAAAATATGTTATAATAAATTTTGGGTTTAGTTTATGTCTTTTTAGCGGTTATAACTATGGGTGTAAATAAGTTACGTTAGGCTGAGTTTTGACTTAAATAAGTTTGATCTGTATAAAAAAACTTAGGCATTGTCTGGCCTATTAGTTTTCTATAGGCCTAAATTACAAGTCTGACCTGACCTATATGACTTTTTGACCCTTTTGTCCCTCATTAATTAATTAATACTCAATTTGCCCCTCCCCCAGAACTATCCACCATCCTGCCCCCATTTAGTCGATTAACGTGAAGATGTAGTCGACTAAATAGTAAAAATACAGGAAATACGAACCCCGAAATTTAATCGACTACAAACCCATCTTGATCGATTAAATTTCGGGGAGATTTAATCTACTAAAAATGTTATTTAGTCGATTAAAGTGCGCTGAAAACCCTATATGTAACCCTTTCTCGATCTCATTTCAAATTATTTTCGTTTTGTAACCCACTCTATCTCTTGTTTGTCATTTGTGATCCTTCCAATCACGATTGCATGTCATCTCACCATCTCTAAAGTCCTAATATTGTGAAATCATTGTCATTCCACTTATATTCTCATTTGTTGCCCCCAAAATCCGAACCCAAATCCCCAAAATCCGAACCCTACTCCCAAATCCGTGTGAAAGATGAGCTCAAGTCCAAACATGTATATTACAATGATCTACTATGATGGAAAGCATTATGAAGGCCCCAATGGTGTTCAATTTGAAGGAAAAACAAAAATATTGAAAATCAAACGGGGCACTACGTACAATAAGCTGAAAGGGAGAATTCACCAAAAATTAGGGCTACAAGGCAGCCAATGCGTTCAGCGGATGATCGCCAGGGTAGAGTCTACAGTTGGTAAGGATGCTATATTCTACATTGGTAACGATATATGTGACGATGAAGATGTGGAATGTGTCATAAATGCAATTGTTGACCGAAAATTTCAAAATTTTATTGAGATATAAGTTGAAATAGACTGTGGTCAATCTTCATCTGCACCTATGCATGAAAGAAGTCAAAGTCAAGAAGACAGAGTCGTCGGTTTATCTGCACCTGCACCTGTCTTAAGTCAAATAACACTGAGAGAAATAGACAAGGATGAGCACGAGGAGGATATGGACAGTGATGAGACGGTGAACCTGAGAGTGTTATTCTATTAGGTGACACCTCAGGTACGGACGTAGAGGAGAATTTTGACGCTGACACAAACTCAGGAAACCTGAGTTCCCAGGTTATGCCCCCACTTCGTGTTGACCCTGTTAGCAATGGTAAGATAGTAAATTAAAGTTTTAAATGAACATTTCATATTTGTGTTATCATTGGTACTGACAGAAAAGTTTAAATTTTGACGTAGGTTCTGAGATTGAGCCATTTTGGAACGAAAGCCCACATTTTTCCTTCATTAATTGGGCTCACCCTAATGATGAGACATATATATTGTATACCGGAGCTGTCATGATGATGTCCACCCCGCAGACCCTCGAGCTCAACTCACCCTGTACGTAGCTGAGGTTATGGTAGAAGGCCCGCACCATCAGCTCTGAATACGGACACAACATCTCAGCCAAAACCCTAAGATGTGCTGCCTCCAACAACGCCACAATGTGAAATCCCTTCGCCGTAAAAAATGTTGTATCCAATGATTTCGGAGGACATAAGGGTCGATTCACATGGTCACGTACAAATGCAGCGTGATCCGAGGGGTCATCCTCAAACAAGTATCCAAATGGGAGGTCGACAGTAGCAGGCTCTTCGTCTTGTGGCCTTGACGAAGACGGCCAGTCTTGTCGTTGCTTCGTGCGTCTCTCATCTTGGGCATTGCTTGGTCTTCTACGACCAGCTATTTTATCAAACGGCGAATAACACAAAAATTTCTAATGGTGGGTATTCATTAAAAAACTAATAACATTAAAAATGATCCCTTAACTCAATCATTTATACTCTATTATTTTGTTTGTATTATATCTCAATATATATGCACCAAACTATTTGGATAAAGTTTATACCAATATTTCTCCGAATAAACATTGAAGTAAGGATTCATATTAATGTTTCTTTACGACCTTTTCTATCCCTCATTTGATTTATGCTTTTTACTTGTCTTATTCTATTCTGTCTGTTTTCTGAGGCATCTTTAAAGTTTAAATAACTAACCCTTAATCTACTTTCGTAATATATAAATTCTGGTGGGTGAAATAGAATGACACTTAACTTCTCAAACTTCTGGAGTTGGTTGGGTTAACTCCAAAAAAAAACTTCTCAAACTTGCCAGATCAGATTTTCATAGGTAAACTAGGAAATTCAGAAACATTACATAAAAGAAATGTGGTCTAGGGTAGGGCCAATTAAGCATGGAGCTAAAGATTCTGGATAGTAGCACAAGAAGAAAAATTTTCTAAGTAATTTTACATGTCTTGTTAATTCTATAAGAGACCATAAGTAGTTTTGTAAAATATCAAAATGGGGTTATGGCTGAATAGATAGAACATAGATCACATGCTGCTAGAGGTTGCAGCAAGCATCAGCAACTTATGATCATGTGGATGAGAAAAAGAGGAAGATAACAAAGATTATGTAAGCCATATAACCTAGAAATTCTCAACTCAATTGCATAACACAACAGAAAGATATTTTGTTTTTGCAATTCTAGATTTTCCAGTATTTGCTAATAACATGAGGCGTGTAATTAGGCAAGATATTGTTCACTTTCTAAGAGGGGGCAAAGAGAGGGAAAGTTGATATCTGTCATTTACTCATTTCCAATTACCTTATGGTTAGAAGTCTCTAGAGATGAAAAGTTTCTTATGCATGTTGCCATATTTGGCTAGAGAAACAGCTGCTTTTTGCACATGAACCTTTTAAATACAAAAACTACACTGCATGTTGTTTGGTAAACCAGAAACTAGGTAACAAAAATCACCCTGTTGATTTCAGCAAAACAATAAAATAAATAAATAAACTAACTGTTAATTTCGAAAAACATAAAACAATTTCTTAGTGCTTATCTCGTATTAGGCAATTTTGAGATCCCAAATCACTAATTTTTTGTACTTTTGAAATATGTATGAAGAATCTAGCTAAGCACAAAACGGACTCCACCTCAATGCCAAAAAGGTACTTAAGTATGTCAAAATGTGTCAATTTTACTAAAACTTCCAGAACCACCATCAAACTTCATTTCACTGCAATTGCACCAATATTTCCCATAAAGAGAGAATTTGAAGAAAGGTGAGAGCAATATAAACATTTAAGGAAGTTCCTGATTGAATCTTTTTAAGCCTACTTTTAGGTGTAAACTAAAAACTGCATTGACAGCATTTATATCCAAAATAACTAAAGTAAACTTGATACCATATTCACTTAATGAGGAATATATAACAGAAAACAGAGATTCCTACTGATCTATAAAATCAACAAGTAGATTAACAGAAGAAAACAAAAAAATGCAGACATTGACTTAAAAGAACCCCTCAATTCCTCTACACATCCATCTAACAAATACTCCTAAAAAATAAACAATCCAATACCTATAATGATCCATAGATGACAGATTCTAAAACAAAGCACTTTAAGAAAACTAAGCCACAAAACTACCTATCTCAAAAGCTGTAAAAATGAAATTCCCTGGTTGAAAATGCATTAGGATTCAACAAAATGCACCAAATCCCTACAAACAATGTACGCTTCCACATGGCCTTTCCCTATTATATGTAGCATTATCAATAATGGAAATGCAAAGAGGCATGTCCAGAAACATACAAAAAAATAGCATGTAGTACGTGCATTAGATAAATAAACAGTAGTGCCATTGTTGATTAGAACCATGAAACTACCATCAGCAAATGAATAAATGATAAATATGCTCCAACTAGAGAAGGAGAAAAAACAAAAACTACTTCGTTCGTGTACATGCCCAAATTCAGTTTGTCAAAATTATTGCTAACATCCGAAAATTATCAACAATGCAATTCTCAGATGGCATTCCCGTTGTAGAAGAAACATGATGACAACACAGAACTTCTTCGTGACAGGCTACATTTAACTTGAGATTCTCAATTCTGATAGAATATGGTAAACCACAATGGACATGTCATCTCAAGCTTATGATTATAAAGCAGCAGGTTGATCTCAACTATAGGCCAAAATTGCACATCTGCACAAACTCCATATCATTGTCCACATATTTGGTCCAGAGATTTTTGTACTGATTCAAAGCAATATCAAGCCAAGGTTTCATGTCTCCATTGTAACGAATGACTGCAGCATTGTTGATCTCATCCATGCTAACACTGGGATTGTAACCTAGCCCAAGCACATGCCAGGATTTGTCCAATGACTTGGTTGTGGAGTAGAAGGTGATCAAACCAGGAGCGAGCGTCCCAAATTTCCACAAAGTTTGGTCTTCATTCTGATAACAGAATCAGTACAAACAAGAGCTTAGTGAGTTTTGGTTTACTGTAACCCCTTTAACAATTTTACAAAGGAACAGCTTGAGCATTATTCATTTTTTAGCAAAATAAAAGTTTTAGAGAATGCAGTTACATAGCATACCAGTACAAAATTATTAGCACATAGAGAAATGAAGAGGTATAACTACAACAGGAAGCAAATTACCATGTTCTGCCAGTAATGGTAATGTTCTGTGCATTTTTCGCGCCTCCAGGCATCAAGATTAAATATATTCATACCATAGGCCCAAGCACAAGTTTTTGGATTGAAGCTCTCCTTAATTAAAGGATGAGAGAAATTCAAGTATTGGGCATATCGGTGGAAAGAGCCAAAACAGATCTCAACAGCACCGTTTACCTTCCCATCCAAATCAATCTTCCACAAACCTGTTAGGTCTTTTTGAACCACAACATCATCATCCAACAATAAGATTTTATTCAAATTAGGGTACATCTCTGGCAAATAAAACCGAAGGTTATATAACATCGACAGGTACTTAACATTGCTAAATTTCATGTTATGTCCCTCATTTGAGGCATGTTCAGCTTGATTCTCAAAGTAACGCTGCTGCATTTTTGCTGACTCAAGTTGCCTCAAAACTGGGACATACGATGAATTTAAGAATGTGAATTCTTCCACTGACTTTATCTCTAAAAATGCACCCCCTTCAACTGGCCTCATCTTAAACCAAACCTTCATTGCTGCAACATTCATCCGGTTCGTAACTACATGGAAAACATGCTTCCATGGCTCTATTGCATTCTTCACCACAGATCTCACCACCACAGACACAGCTATCACATTGTCCGAGAATATTGCATAATGATACAAATTGGGATCTTCAAACTCAGGCTTAGGTCTCTCATCTCTATATTTCTCCGGATTTGAAATTTTCTCACCCATTAGCCTCATTGCCAAACAATGCAAGCTCTTGGGAACCGATTTGGCTGAAATCAAGCTTGCCAATGCCCCATTCTTCTTTGCCTTCATAAGTGATTCATTAACTGCAAATATTGTATCCTTCAACTTCTGAATTTTTAACTGGTTATCATAATTCTCTTTTGCCTCAACAATCATCATCCTAGCAATCTTCACTCTATCCTTAACCTCCTTCTCAAACTGCCTCAACACATCCTCATCAATTGGACCATCTGACTCAAACAGAGATGATCGATAGGTTGGCCTAACAGAAATATCAGAAAAATTGCTTGCCAATTCATCAAACATCTTCAATTGCCTAGAAATGTCAAGCTTAAGCTTCCTAGCATAAGCAGCATATGCATTCACTAGTGTGATGTGATCTTTAGCTTGCTGGTGTATCAAATCCACTCTTGTCCTCAGAGGGTCAGATTTCAATGCCAAAAATGTTCGATGCACGTATGCATTACCAGTTGTGGGAAGATCCTGTGACCAAAAAATATCTAATCCATTACATGGGGTTCGTTCAATTTTGTCAAATCATCATGTGGGTTATGCTCTAAACTGAATCTACAATAATGGGTCGTTTCCAATTGAGCTACTTGAAAATGGGTTTCAATCAAAATTAAAACTTTGGAACAAAAACAAAAACCCATTGGAGAAAAAAAAAAAGCATAAAAACAGAGGAACTTACAGAGTCATCGTTTTGTGTGGAGGGATTTGTGGTGAAGAGGACTGAAAGTGTAGCAATGAAAAGGAGAGAAAACATTGCAGAGATGAAGATCCGGAACGAGAAGAAGCTACGGAGGCCAGATCCACCTCTGCCACCTCTCACGGCAACCGCCATTGGATCTTGAGCTTTGTGAGCCAATAGTAGAAGGAGCTTTCTAGAACTAAAAAATTGTTGCTTCACAGTGTGAGATCTAATTGAGAATAACTGATATTTTGTTAAAAATTTATGTGTGTGTGTGTGTGTTTTAATTTTCAATCATATGAATGGAATATTGGAAAAGTGGACACGGCATGGCCTTTGGCCGCAAAATTAATAGGAGAATGGAGATTTAGGAAAAGATGATTGTTGAATGGAGATGAGAGCATGCAATGAATGCAGTGTAGATGTAGTGTTTTTGTAGATTGTATAGTGTGTATGTGTAAGTGTTTTTGTGGTACACAGAATGTGAACAGAGGTGGGCTATTTAATGTTATGAGCCTGAACCCAAGTACAAGTCTGTGTGTCTGGGTCCATCTAACCTCTTTGTTAATTCATGGATTGGTTTCTCATTAACTTTCCTTTTTTGGTTTTTGGTTGTGTGGGTAATTCATGGATTCTTTTATTTTATTTTTTTATTTTTCGAGATTATCCCCCAATTATTTTATAGGTTCTTTATGAACTAATTTAGAGTTCAGGTCAGGATTAAAACTTTAAATTTTTTTCAAAAATAGTACTAGAGAGAATTGAACATATGTTCTGATCTTCACTTGTTCAACTCTTATGTTTCAACTGAGTTACCATTATTTGATTGGATTCGCCGTAGTCACAAGGTAAATCGAAGCCAAGGAACAACCTTTTTGCAGAAACCATAGCACCTACCCTCGTGTCAGGAGCTGGCTTGTGGGCTTAAGCCCGGGAAATCAAATTCCCAGTTGCAAAATAAATAAAGAAGAGCTGAAATAGAATTACCTTTTATTTTATACTAACTAATAATATCTCTTTATGGTATGTACTAAGTAGTATTGTTCAATTTAATGCAATTGTCTTTTGATGAAGTAGTTGTATAAAAATAATAATGAATTTATATTTATCCGTATTGGTGAAACTCAAGTCGTAAGGTGTATTGGATATCATATAAGAATAACCCAAAGAACAGGAAAAAGAAAAATATTTTAACTTTACTTTTTACATTTTATAGTCTATTTAAAATAACTTTACTTAAAAACCTGAATAAAAGTATCATTAATTTGTTAGTTAAAAATGAGTACTCATTTTTTTTATACATCAATTAGCTCATTGCCACTTAAACCAATAATTATTAGTAACTTAATTGTATTTTGAAGGAAAAAATAAAAAGAATAGAATACATGCCAAAGAGTTTGTATCAACTTTGCTTAATAAGTCTTTAAAACTTAAATATGAGGTTGAGTTTACTAAAAACAAAATGAGGTTGAGGTTGATGTTGAAGATTCCACTCTATTCTAAATTACATGTTAGCCCAAAAATCACAAGGCATTGTAAGCCATTCGCTTCTCAAGAGGTTTTGAACTCCATATTTTGGCCCAAAATGCATCTTGAATCTCGGTCACTTTATTATTCTATCCTCCGTTGACCAGTGCTCATTGTAGCAAAGTTACTTATCTCCATACCCAATAAAATAAAATACAGTGAATCCTTAGAAATTTTAGTGCTCCAATGGGATGCATTTATGATTGAAGTGGTTCAATCATTATCTTATTCTTCTTCTAAATAAAAATTAAATTTCATAAATAGATAACTTATGTTACACATAGCTCAGTCTTTAAGCTTAAATAATGCATTAGAAATATGATTAAGTAATTCATAAACCTCTGCTTAGCATCACCATTTATTGGAGTAATAAACAAAGGATTAGTGTTTCTTATGTTATATGACATAATTTTATCACTTATACGAAAGTATGTGAGGTTTATGTTTTCTTTTTCTTTTTCTTCTTTTCATATGGCTCCACTTAAGCTCCATACACTTTTATATGTACGTAGGCAATAATATTATCTTCTATAAGATGAGAAACATTAATCCCATAAACAAAAGAGCGACGTATGAAAAAAGTTGTATTAAAAAAATAAAAAGAACATTATGGGTGAAATATTTTTTTTTGTGTGCATGTGTACACATATTTGCATTAATTTCCAAAAAAAAAAAAAAAAAAATTCATCAAGAGCCATAATACAGGAAAAAGTTGCATCAGTGACCATTGGCCAATGCACAGCTTCTGTTGGATCACTGTCAAAACCTGGGAAAGTAAATAACAAAAGCTTCAGTTATTTTCCAATAATATGCATTCTAAGGTAGCTCTAAAAAAGCCATACAATGGTGATAAGAATTCTAGTGGGTGGCTTGTCTAAATGTTTTCCTTTTAATGGCAACTTTTCTATCATCAGCCAATGACCACTACACACTCCCTTTTATCTTTGTGTCATGTCCTATTCTCTCCCCAACCCATTTCCACCTGACATAATTACTTCCATTATTTTACATGAATCATATATTGGATTACGTTAGCTTCCCATTAATAGGTTTCTTTTGGCCTCATACACAAATCATATACAAGATTATGATCTTCTTCTTCTTTTCTTTTATCGTTCCACAATTCTTTGATTATTTCTTGAAGATGAGGCCATGAAGGCTTTCTATATTGTTTTCTGGGCATGAATCATATGAAATTGGTGCTAAGTGCTAACAGGTTTATAAAAAATTCTTCAGTCTCTTTAAGACATAAAAATTGGAGACCACCTTTTATATTTGAAAGAGAGGTAGTGTCAAAGTTGATGAATTAAAAATCATTCCCAATTAAACCCGACTAACGAGTGTAGGGACGAGAGCAATCCTTATATGCAGTCGCAGTCTTACCGTGTATACTTGCAAAGAGATTGTTTCCAAATTCGAACCCGTAAGCTTTTAATTCAATGAAACAAGGCTCAAATAAAGATACTCAGAAGCATGTTATTGCCATTTATCTTTTCACCTCATACAGATCAAAAGGGAAGGAAAAGACTAGTGTTTTTAAACTTCAACACAGACAGAAAAACCAAAAAGTAAAGAAAGAAAGCTAATAAAGAGATGAAAATTTGGCCTCGTCATCAAATTAACCAAGCAGGTCCATGGAACTTGTGATGGATTGGTTTGTAGAATCACATCTGAGATATGCTGAGCTACAAGGGATTTCTTCTAAAGGGCTCAAAGAAGGGCATGGACTATGTATCTGCATGTCTCTTAGCATTTGGCGAAGTTCTGAAGCTTCTTCTTTCAGCTGAGCATTCTCTTGAAGGACTTGGTCATGGTTTTCTGACACATGGTTCAGCTTTTCTATTAGTTGGTGATTCTCATTCCTCAGCCAAACCACCTGTGACCAAAGTTCATCAAGGTGTTTTTGCTTCCTCATGCGTGATCTACGTGCAGATTCTCTATTAGATATCATCCTTCTGTGTTTTCTCTCATTGATGAGACATAGTTGTTGTTCATCTGCTTCATCAGAAGTGGAGTTGCTGCTGATGCATGATGATTGAGGACTAAAGTCAGGAAGTTGATGAGGAGGGTTGTGGAAACCATATAATTGGTTAGTGATTCTGTGAGATTGAAATGTGGGAATGTTGTTTTGAACCATGGTGTAGTTTGTTTGGTAAGGAGAAGGGTTTGAAGGGAGTAAATAATTGAATCCTGTTACCTCCCTGGCCTGCATGGTTTAGCAATGAGAAAAAGATTGCAGGGTCTTGGAGAAAAAAGAGTGATGAAGAGTTTAATTTGTTTTGAGAAGGAGGAAGAATGAGTGGACAGAGTAGGTATTATATAGGAATGGAAAATGATGTATTCTGGCCCCACTGAATAAATAGTTCAGTAACAATGTTGAAGTTTTTGTTAAAAGCTTATTACATTGATAGGAATGTCTTGCACATGATGTCTATGCACAAAGTGGTGTTGAGTATGACTCCTATTTTGTATGTAGAAGATGATTCATGTCTTCTAACACAGATTAAGTTTTTTATTTTTTTGTTGTTGAGATATTCTAATCGGCTCATTGTATCGTGACTAGTCTGATTCGGGTTGGGTATCGAGATTAAGATTTTAAATCCTTTTCAAATATGATACTAGGGAGGATCGAATACATATTCTCACCCCCATCTGCTCAGTTCTTTGGCGTCAGCTGAACGACTATCATTTGATCAGATAAAGTTAGTGGGGTCTTATTCCCGATTTATTTGTATTGCTTTGGGCCTCTATCTTGAAATTAAGTATTTGTAACGAATGCGACGGGAAGAATATAATAATAGATTTATTAGACATCATGGCCTTTTATTAGACTGAAATAAGATAAATCGTGTCTCATGCTTTTTTACCCTTTCTTTTTTCTTTACTATACTATAGTAGATTGATTTGTATTTATACTCTGTTTTCTTACCCTCAAAAGCATTGGATATATGTATATATGTACATAACATACATTAATGTGAATGTTATGTGCGAGTGACATGATGCACATAAGTGGCCCATAGGGTGAATGCAACTTGGGTTTGTGGATATAATCATTTTGAAGAAAAATATGCTTACATCAGAGAGAAAGAAGCATTTCATATCATGGGGAGTATAATAACTCTATTGGAAAGACTGTTTTGTGGAAAGCAAGCACAGGCGAAAATTTGGAGTTAAAAGTAGTCACTTTTATTATATTAGTGTTATTTCCAAGGTGATTTTATCTCCTGGATATAGTATTCACTTAAATGACATAAAAATGGGTGAAATAACGAGATTGAGAAAGGCATCTTAGGTTGAGGGAGAGTTCAAATTGTTCAATGTGCCAAGTAAGAAATTACATTGAATAAAATGATTGACTAATGAGTTGCAAGGGGTATCACATTCGGTGCACAAGAAGCGAATTGCTGTGACTGAAAAGTCATTAAATTGATTCCTAGGCGAAGCAACTTGAGCTCAGTATAAAATTTTTTGTACTCGACATAGATTAATCGAATGATAAACTACATTGTATCATGTAAAAAGTCTATCAAATATTTATACCAATAGTTTATGGCTTTTATACTTCTTTAGACGAAAATTTTTGTAGCAACATATATAAAGGCAGGATACGCATGTGAATCCTGACCTTCTTTTAAAAAAAATGATGGGACTCACTTCGTTGTGTCTGCTGCACTAGAAAAAGTGGTGCAGTGACAGCAAAAATTTGGAACCAATAGTTTATTTATAAACTTAACATAATCAAATATTCTAATAAGATAACTTTATTATAAATTCGAATAAGATAATTCAAAGTAGGATGAAAGAAATAAAGGCTAATTTTCCATAATTGAATTTCCAATAAGGCAGGGTCGTTTCTAAATTCATAAGTGAGACGTAAAGAAAGAAAGGTTAAGAATTTGATGACTCAAAAAACCACTTATACTGGGACCTCCAAAAACAATCATATGGGTATGGGTTAAATAGAAGCCAAATCTTTGATCAGCAATCACTTCTTTTCTTTAGTAGGGTTAGGTATATATATACTTGGGGTACTAATCAGAGTCTTTTAGGCTGTGGTAATGACGATTTCAATAGTAATCACAGGGAAAAAAATTAGAAGATTCAGCTAATTACTCCCTAATTAAGGCAATTGTGTACTAGAAATGCTGAATGCATCACACTGCTTCATTTATTTTAGCTGCTAAAAAGTAATCTAGTTTTTATTTTTTTTTATGGCATATTCTCATGGTTATTCCACATGAATTGCCCTTCACGTGAACACAATGATGTCATTACCGCAAATGATAGTAAATTTTTTTGAAAGTAACTCTTGTTGAATCAAAATTAATAATCATTGCCAAAATTTACTATATATGATCAAAAACTCACATTTTGTTTCGCCTTAATAAAGGAGAGGAAAAAGGTGGGAAAAGTTTTTAGTGGTGTTGAGCAGTTGTTCACTATCCAATCAGGCAGAGGCCAAAAGTTATTTTCTAGGACATGCTATTTTTTTTTTAATAAGAAAATGACATATGCTAACCTTAATAATAATATAAAGTATCACTAAGCACGTCATAGTGGTGGAGCCTGGAAAGGACTAAAGAGGCAATTGTCCCTTAAATTCATCAAACATTTGTTTCGGATTACAGTCAAATTTAGTGTAACTTAAGTTTGCAGTGCATATGGATAAAAAAAGATGAAGAAAATTTGTGTACCAAAAAAAAAAAAAAGTTTGCCCCCCTTAATCCTTATTATTTCTCATATATGAAGAAAATTTGATATGGATAGACCCACTATTGTGTTACCCCTACTTAGGTTAGTTGAATTTTAAATTCCTTGCCCCTTCTCACAAAATTTTCTATCTCCACCATTGAGCATATGGATCAACTTGTAGGGATTTTTCTAACTTAAAAAGTGATCTCAAGTTTGATTCTTAGATATACAAATGTGTTACAAACTTAATAAAAAGAGTTTTGTTCTGATTGCAGTGCTATGCGACTCGAACCCAACTAATCAGATAATCAATGAACTGATGAAAAAATTAAAATAAAAAATGAATAAATAACAACATATAGGTCTCTAATTGGTTTTAAATGATTCATTTTGTTATTATCATCTTGATTCGTCATCTGTTTACATTAATCATTTATTATCGATAACCAAATTATGGTAGTTCAGTTGGCGTCAGGGAACTGAGCAGGTGAGGATAAGAGCATGTATTCGAATGCTCGGGATCTACTCCAAATCGAACTAGTCGCGAAACGATAAACCGATTAGAATATCTTTAAAAAAAAATCATTTATTATCGATCCATGGCAATATATCTGCATCAAATGCCTTTTTCTTGAATTTGGTTACATAATTTTCCATGAAATGGACAAAAATTTACTCATCCAGGGAGAAAATGGAAATGGATGAGTTTGGTCTTAACACTCAAAGGAGTGGGGAAATATCATGCATAACATATGGTGGGAATTAAGGAGTACAAAGAAATGGTACTTTATATTGCATCTTCCACTAAACCAAAAGCTTGAATGCATTCAGAAAAATGGGAACCAAAAATCTAGTTAGACAAATGGTTGTACCTGCACTTCCCGTGTGAGTTTGATTGAGTGGACTGAATGGTCAACAAAATCATTAGACAGATTTAGACTCATCTTTCATTCTTGTCTTCCGATTGTTCTTTACTTTATCTCTCTTTTTCTCTATTTGTTTTTCTATAGCTTCTGTGAAGTTACATAAAGGTGATTTTATATAAAATAAAGTAACTGTAACGTACTTATATAAGAGTAGGTTATATTTATAATTTTTTTTTTTATAAACTCTTATAAATTATATTATATATTTTTGGAATGCATTCTTAACTATTCCTGAAAATATATAATTAAATTTATAACAAAAAATTATAAATATAATATTTTCCACGTATGTAATAGTAGAGTGAGATGAGTATGTCTGTCATTGATCAATTTTGTACTTGTACTCTACATTGTACATGTACTTACTTTACATTAGTTGTGTCAAATCAAAATGCTATGAACAACGAGGAGATTTGGAAGGAAAGTTCACAAGTTGACTTTGACATTTGATTCATATACTATATATCACATTATTTTCTTCCCCCTCATTTTCATTTTTTTTCCAACAGATAATCAAAAATTCAATTAATTCGGTTTAAGTATTCTCCTATTTATATAGGGATGACTCTTTCAATACTATTTTCATTATTCTCATACTTAAACTAAAGATTTTTAATTAAAGAAAATTATTTTTTATCATTTAAAATAATGATTTTTTTGTTTATTTCTGTCAAATTGATTTTCATCTAAGCGCAAGGATCCTTTCTTAACTTGGTCTACAATTGAAAGATCTTTAGCTCGGTTTTGTTGATAGATTAAATTTAGCAATTATTTTTTTAAGATCTTCATGAAATTAAAAAATAATTATTTTTAAATAAACTAATTTAAACTCACCTTTAGTATTTATTTGTAAGATCATTTATTAAATATACTAATGTTATAGTATTAGTATACAAGCTTGAGTTCTTTTTTTTTATTTCCTTATCTACGCTCAACCCATAAACCAAGTTCATAAAATTTTATTTTTATACGGTTGAGTATAACTCATACTTCCTATTTATATGACGACTTTGGTTGGTAGGATGCAAAGAAAGCCAATAGAGATCCCACTTCCCGATAAATGGGTAGGGGTTTGGGGCTATGTCTCACTGACACTAACACGGGACACGACACGACATGACACGCCGACACGTTAGTTCTAAAAGATGACATATTTCGACATATTATGGCACATTTTAATATAAAATAATATTTTTAATATATAATATAATTTATATTTAATACATATAATAACCCATAATAAGTCATATAACCAATCAAATATTCAAATTCCATAACATAAGTATAAAGCAAAAATAATTTTTTGTACCTTGTTAATTTTTCATGTCAAATTCCATAACAGAAAAAAATTGATTTATAAATTATTTTTTCGTGTTTAGTTAATAAAAGAAAATACAATTTATACCTAAAAAAAAGTGCTAGATGCGTGTCAGAGAGTTGACCACGTGTCGAACATACGTTTTGAAACTTTGACTGCGTGTCGGAATGTGTCGGTGTTTGACACGTATTTTTCAAAAAAAAAATTGAGTGTCAGTGCTTTTCTAGGTTTGAGGTTTGGGGGAGCTGCCTCAGTAAAGGTGTGGGGCAATAT